CTAACTAAATTAACAATATTTCTTAAATATTAAGTAACTTTTACAATTATAGATAGTAAAACTTTACTACTACATATCATATTTCCCATAAAAGGTAAGTAAGATTATGCTCTATGGGAACATCGAATTAAATTTCATTTAAATGTTTCCAAAGCATCACATTTCCTAAAAAAATAGACAACAGACGAATCGTATTCATATGAAAAATGTTAGTTTAAAATGCTGTTTAGCGAAAAGTAAATATGAAATAGGGCTTAAAATGATAGCGTTAGTTCCATAATATAATTCCTTGTAAGAAATATTCGGAATAGCACAACTCTACAAATAATTTCATTCTTATATCAAATGAAATAAATATTTTTTATCTATATTATGACTACTTTGTAATTCAACACCAATAAACTCAGTACCTCAAATTTATTATTAAATTTAGCATGCTTTAATGCGTTACAGAAATTAATTTCATCATCACATTAGAAATTAGTTGGACGATAGGTTTAGCTAAAATAAGAGCCCTTAACTCATAATATATTTTTTGATCATTTTTTAATATATATCTATATATATGTATATAAATTTAATTCAAATTTAGAGAATATTTTTTCAAAAATATAAAATGACTATGTATATTCATGAATATATTTATTTCCGTAAAAATATTATCTTAACAGAAGAATTTTGTCACACAAATTCATGATCGTTAACTTGATTAAAAGATAATCGCAAAGCAGTATGCTAGTCAAATGCAAAATAATTGCCTCAAGATTGTGAAGTTATTTATTTTTTAAGTAATGATTCCGTTATGAATAAAAAAGTTGACCGCTATTTAGCTCACATATACCTTCAGTCTTTAATTTTATACCCTAATTCTCATAGATAAACCCACTGGGTAATTTGTTTGGTCATTTCCACGTCTGTGACCTTTCAATGCAATCGCCTTTTCTTGACTTCCCTTTGTTCTTTATGAGCCGCTCCATGGTTGTGTCTCTATATGCTGGTTTAAGGTTGTCCTCGGTCCACGCGTCTTATTTTTGATGTCTTCTCTGAATCTATAAATCTACTAAAGCAGTATGCAAAATTATCGCTGACTCTAGCCTCCTCCAATCTTCCGTTCACCAGGGTTTTTGAAAAATGATGTACACAGCATTCCTGATCTTCCGTTTCCTGGTGTTTTCAAACAGTCTTTTTGTTACATGCCAATCCAGTGGTTCCCAAACTTTTGATAGTCGCGACGCCGTTTTTCAATTAATATATTTCTATGGCGCCCTATCCTAATTATGAATATTCGTAATTAATTGATGAAAATAAATAAAACTCGCGTATCCTCGTTAATTTTTTTTACTTTATTAACATTAAATAAATATTTAATAATTATGTAATGGATGAGCCTGCAAATCACTGCACATCTTTTCAAATTAAAGCTTTTACAATATTTCGAAGCGCATAGTTTGGGAATCACGGTTCCCATTAATTGTGTGGCTAGTAATGGCGATGTGTTCAGCTATCTCCGATCTTTCTTTATCTATTTTTCTGCATAGTCACTGGTGTTCTTTTATCCTTCTCCTATGTATTTTTGTTCACAGTCCTTGCCGTTTATGCTGATAAATCCGGAGCACTCTGTTTTGTTGACTTCTTCATGCTGTGTGGATAAACTGATGAAGAATGTTGTCCTTTTATTCAGGATTGAGTGAATGTTCACTAGCATTGGCCGTAGCTTCCGAGTCAATTCGCTGGAGGGTAGACATGTGTATAGTCCTCCCCCGCTGACATTTCCATTAAACGTCAGCTCTACTCACATAATTATGGGAAAATTCTACTACTAGTCCTTTATCACTTCGAACTAAATAGGATGAACACATTTATATAGCTTATGCACTGGTATTCTCAAAACTATACTTATACGAACAATAAGTAATGTAGTCGATTGTTATAGCAAAAATACATATGCCCCATCGGCAATCCCAACAAATAGTGTGATATGGAAAAATCCTGGCCTTCCTTGAAATTTAAGTCTTCCTTGTGACCCAAAGGCGCTCTTGGCAATGTGACTGAGTAGTTAACGTATCAAGTTAACATAATGCAGTGTCACGGTTCGAATCTTGCTGGGGGTGTGGACCAGACGAAACTGTAGTCTGCCCTGGATGATAACAATGTTTGGGAGCACAAGGCTGTGTTAAAATCAATAGAAAAGTCAACTTTACTCATATCATCGTGAAAAAATTCTACTACCAGTCCTTGATCATCTTAAACGAAATATGCGGAATACATCTAATTTTCTATAGATTAATATTCCCTATTAAAAGATAAGTAGTTCTTATAGATACGATTTAAGTGTATGAATATGTAATCATTTAATATTTTGATTTTACATTTTAATGACCAAAATCATAGGCAAGGTAACTTGATCGCCATATTTATCTAAAAAATTAAGTAATTATTTTTTCACTCTTGAAAAATACTTATATTACTTTATCTTTTTTGCATTAAAAGTTTTAAATAATATAAATTTCCGACCAAGTTGGGAATACGAGATCAACCCACTTCAATATAATTCTTTATTTAGAAATAAAGCGTCATCTTATGCAATTTTGTAATGGAGTTTCTCGTGATAAGCAAGAATTAAAATAGGAAAAAATAGCTTTAACTTCCTTATTTAGTTAGCTATTAGAGCTTTCACTATCATGAAAATTTATCTTTTTCAGTTTTATTACCTGTCGACTCATCATGGGGTTCACCCGACCAGGCCGCCTTGTCCGATCCTTCTGAATCGCCGGATCCCTTTGGTTCATCATGATGCCGTCTACTGTTGTAGCTTGAATGTGAATTTATAATATTGCTTTCATTTGAATCTGCTTGGGTCATAGTCGAATCGGCCTGACTTAACCACATTGAAGTAATATTTACTCCAAGATTAACCTGCCTATGAGCCTCTTCTTTTTGCTTTTTAATTGAATTCACAAAGTTGTTACCAAGTTGAGTAGAATGTTGGCCTTTATCATTACTCTTTATATCAGACGTTGTTACTGAGTCAGAGATTTCATTTGTAGTGGCACCATTATATATAGTATTACTTTTAGGCCTCCAGATGCTGGAATCCTGAGAAAAATCGTATAATGAGGTTGGAGTACTCATCAATGAGGTCAATTGAGCGGGTTTAGTAGAATAACTTCTTGGCTGCATATGCGAATCCGCTTTAAGTCCTGACACGGAAAGTGATC